TTAAAGCAGTTCATGAAAATGGACCTTTTAACGATTCTTACAGAAGTTGCACAGATCTGATTGTTGTTTTGTCTTGTTTTTAGGTGGAGATACCACAGCGAAGTCATCTTGCAGAACATCAAGATTGAATGGAGGTGGTCTTCGTGACATGAGATGACTTTTACAAAAGACTTTTTAGAGTATGACACAACAGTGTCCAACTGTATATAGCGGCTGATTAGTTTTCTTTATGGTTTTTACTTTGTCTTTTTTGCCATCTGTGTTATGACACAATGTGGATTTGTGTTAATACAAATTTTATTTGTATACTTTCATGTTAAGTGATTCTTGAATAAATGCTTACTTATGTGAGTCTGTCTTCCTGTGTCTGCTGCTTAGTTTTGTAAGCTTAATTTGTAATTGAGCAATAACAAGGATAGCAGTCTTTCCTATTGGGAGGAAAGATGGCCTGTATTGGAATAGGGCCTTGAATGCCCTCTGGTCACTAACTTTCTAGATATGCCCTGAGCTTGAGGCTATTTCAAGTGTCAACATCACCTGAGTTAAAATCTGCTGTTAAATGATTGGCTCCTAGTTGTAATAAGAGATAAATACAAAGATTGCCTTAGATGTGTTAGAAATTCTTTGCTACCTCTTCCTGCCTCTTCTCCCCCCCCCCAGTATTTTTTTGCAAATACCTTTTCTATTTGTGTTAGCATTTCATATAGTTCTTGCTGTTGTATTTTATTGTTTATAGTCTTTCCAGTCTGTGCCTTTTTGGGGGCATGGTGGGGTTACTATGTATTACTTTGAGCTGTTGGGATGCTGGTGGGGGTTTACTATGTGTATAGAGAGCCTGAGGATTTTATATTAAATTGCTTACTCTGAATAACTGGACAAGAGTGGAACTAGTGAATTGTGACGGCACAAAGCAAAAAGTCAAAATCCCTTCCTTTTAATGTATGTAGCAGTTAACACATACTTCTAAAAATTCACCTTACCATAGTGCCTGAAACAGTTGGGAGAACAGTTTGGTTTAAAAATCAAACTGCCTCATTTTCAGTTATGGGTTGTGTTCCCAAAATGTATAATGCATTACATCTATAATGTATTGATGTATACAAAATGTATAATGTATTGATGGTTTATGATAACTTGGTTAAATGTAAAATTATTACTGAATGGGAATGCCAAACAGTTAACTCTTCCGTGGTCTTCAGTGAGTTTTACCTCTAGATTGGAAGTTTACCCATTGCTAAAGATGACTTTTAGTAACAGGTTCCTCTAAACCAGTGCTGAAAATGGTTTAATAGCTAGCATTATAAAGTCCAGCCCCAGTATAGAAAGCATCAGTTCAAGGGGATCTACTCCCAACAACCATTTTTTAGCAACAAGTCAATTTATTAGTGTAGAACAGGCTTGAGTCCATGTTCTGAATCCTTGAGCACAGTCACCTTAGCTTCTGGTGTGGCTTGGCTTTGCAGCTCTCCGTTGTTTGTTCGTTCTTTCAACATGGCCATGCACCATGCATTCATATGTCCAATCATGGATCTAAAATAAAACCTTGTTTAGAAGACAGCTGAGAGCACTTTGTCCATAGCAGTATAAATCTTTCCACTTCTGTAATGTTCTTCTATCCCTATGTCCTTCTGTGTATCTCTTATTTGCTTTCCATGCATTTGCTCATTGCACTTGTCGGTCTTATCTGCCTCTCTCCTGCAGATATACCATGCTAAAATGAGTACTTAGATATTCTCCTTGGGTTGGTCAAGCTGGCAGTGTTGGGGGAATGGTAGCAAAGATGCCTGTAGGTGATCTACACTACACTAGATAATATCTAATGCTGAACATGGTGATAAAGTAATTGCAGCTGCTGTATACGGCCACTAAGAGAATTGCTCCTGGTGCATTGGTAAACCAGTAGTGTGAGAAGCCAGGCTCATTGTAGATAATGCCCAGCTGAACCACACCTTGATGGAGCTGGCAATTGAATTAATGCCTGGTTGCTGGTAGAGGTAGCTGTTGACTCCCTATTGTACCTCTCTGGATTTTTGAAGTGTACATATTTTTCAAAATGACAGTGCTGTTACTTTGTCATTCTACAGTCCAAATGGTCTAGAATCTAAACATTTTCTTTTAACTTGCTCTATTATCCAAGATCTTCAATTTTGTGTAGTTAACTGGCTATACGTGTCTTGTATGACCTTCAGCAAGTTACTCATCCTCTGCCTCAGTTTGTGCTCTGAGAATTTTTTTGCCTATCTAATGGATTTTAAAAGGCTTAATTGTTTTATAAAGGGCTATTAACACCTTGCTTGAAAGGTGCTATAGAATGTATTGATAGAGCCAAGTACTCCACACAAATGAAATGCTGATTTCTCTTGAGGACTGATCCTGTAAACTTTTACTCACACTAGTAGTCTGAAGTCTTGTAGTCCTGTATAAGGGTTACTTAAGAGCCAGATCTTGGAAACCTGTGTGTTTTAATTCTTGCTAATGTCAGTGGGGATCATACATCTAAAATGCATAGCTTATTACAGGGTTTACAGACTACTTAATTGGCAGTTCCTTTTATCTATTTGGGTGGGATGTTTTGCTCTTGTAAAGAAGAGGCTAGCCATGGGGGGGGGCTATTTTCTCTCTATTTTTAAGCATTGATTATATGTTCATGCATAATCCAAATACTGTAAAAGGATTCTCTGGCCCAGGGTTATTTTTAAGTTAACTTCTACCAATGTTAATGGACATGGTGGGGGAGGCGACAAAACAATCTGGAAAAATCAGTCAGCCTCTGTGCCTGAAGAACAATAACTCAGTCATCGTGTCCTCACTTTGAAAAAGTATAAACTTCATCAGCCAGGTAGTCTTCTGTTCAGCTGTTTCTCTTTTTGCAAGGTTCAACTAGCTTTCCTTTAGTATACTGTAGTGTGGTGTTCCTCCCCCCCCGCAATCCTATCTGATATTTTATCTGAGGTGTTTTGTTAACATTTTACTTCTGGTTTTATGCCTTTTTTCCTTTACAGTTTGCAGTTGCTTGCCCTTCAAGTTGGCCTTTTCACTTATAGTTTTAAGGTTTCTTTGGTTGCATCTGTCTTGATTGCTTTCTGCATTTAAGTTGTACTTAATGTGGTGTTTGTGCTGCGGCACATGGTAAGCCACATAAATATAGTTTTCAGAAATGACCTTGAATCACTTGAACTATACTGATGGCTAAAGTTATTGACAAATGCTTGAAAAATCAAGGCAACTAACTAATCCTAAGTATTTTTTAGGATTGCAGTCAGCACCTTTGCTAATGTATAGTTAGTAAACAGCTAAGACTTCCTATTAAGTATTTATACTAACTAAAGTGAAATAGCCAAGATTAGTAGAACAAAATTTCCATCTAATGTTATGTAAAGATTCTTGTATCACAATTTTTCTAGGCTCTTCTGATTCTGTGCTAGTATATCATCATATACAAGAATGAACAAGTTTAAGTGCACAATAGAGGGGAAGGGAAATTAGTGTCAGGTATTAAAAAAAATTACAGTAAACAAATTTTTAAAATGGATATGGCCATTTATAAGGATAGCCAAGAGTAGGCAACCTTTTAGCTCAGTTTGTCAGTAACTACTGAAGGGTTACAGGAGCCATAAATTGAAGGTATACAGGGACTTTTACCCTGAGGTATAAAAGATAATCCACACCTGCTGTGCTGGAGTTATTTACAACATCCACCTCGTTTCTTGCAAATGCTACACCTAGTAGCAATAGTCCACATTTAATTGAACATAGAATTTCATCCTCTAGTTCCATTACATGCAATAGGAAATTTGTCATGGAAGCCAAACTATCGGTTTGTAGACCCAAGATTTCACTGAGTCTCTAACACTTAACCCCAGATGACATTTCTTGGTCCAAAGAAAGGACCTCTTATAGCCTAAAACTTGCCCTTTTTGAAATACAGATGACTTTTTTTTTTAGAATAAGGGAGTTTTTTTTAACAATGAATTGGTTTGTCACGCTCTCAATGAAAGATTAACAACTTGGAAATGTTTAAATTAAGACACACCCCTTTTCAAAATAAAAGTGAGTGGAGAAAGGGGGAAACAAGTTTTAAGCCGTGATTGGTGTGCTTCAGCTAACTGAAAACGTCATGAAATTGAATGTAACACTTTTTCAAAACTTACTTACCCTTCTTCCCACCAGCTTTCCCAAGGATCTCTTCCTCTTTCCAGGACTAACATTCCCTGTTGGAGTGGGTAGGATTTTTTCTTCCTCTCTAGGACAATGTAGAAATCCTCCCTCCTCCTCACTAGCCACAGGAGGAGGACTGGCTGGACGGGTAAGTACATTGTTTTCCGTTCAAAAGAAAGGTGCCCAGGGCTCCTATTCTTCGCTTCCTGTCCTAAAGGGTTGGGCACAATCCACCTCCAAGGCTGAGCTGTGAGGGGGAGGGGGCACCCTCCTTTGCCTGCCTCTTAGGACAGGGCCGAAGCCCCATTACTTGTGTGTGTAAGGGAGGCTAGGGCTGATGCCAATCGGGGACTGTACAACGGCTGGGGCCCAGGCCTGGGGGGTCCGCTGGACTCCGCCCAGGGCTAAGATAGGGTGGCCCTGCACTGGGCGCATCCCTGCCAGGTAGCTCAGGGAAGGGCAGTCACAAGCTTCCCCCTGCAACTCTGCTCCTTGCCGCCCAAGCTGCCTCAGCCAGGGCACTTGCTGCCCTGGAGCTCCGCTGTCACCGGTCGCAGGGGCTGGGTAGAGCCCCTGCCTCACGGGACCTCGTCCCTAGCGCGCCTTTGCGCTAGTCTGTACTACGGTGGGGTGGTACAGTAGCCTTTTGACTACTCTCTTTTTGTCGTCTCTATGGCTCTTGAGCCGCTCTATCTACTCACTTCCTCTCTCTCGGTGGTTCAGAGACGGGCAGAGTGTATACACAATGGGAGGAAGGCGGGCTGGAGAAGGGACCGGGGTCACGTGATCTTCCTGCGTTCTTTCCGCCCGCCATTTTACGTTGGGTTCGCGGCGGCGGCGGCGGCGCCATTAAAGCGGGAGAAGGAGGCACCGCAGCTAGGTCCGCCGGCCGGAGTACGAGCCCTCGCGGTCTTAGCCGGCAGGCGGAAGCGGGCATCCGCGCGCGCCTGTCTCGAGCTCGCTGCGGCTCCTAGGGCGCGGCAGTGTCATGTCGGAGCAGCAGTTCGGGGGGGACTCGGCAGCCGGAGGCGGCTCGGCGGAGCAGGCGGAGCAGCAGGAGGGGATGGCTGGGGCGGGCGGCGCAGAAGGGGGAGGCGGCGGCGGAGGAGGTGGCGGCGGCGGCGGCGCCGAGTCGGAGGGAGCCAAGATAGACGCGAGCAAGAACGAGGAGGATGAAGGGTGAGTAACGGCCGCTCTGGGCGGGGAGGCGGATACCGGCCTGTCCCCCCTTTTTCCCCCGGCCGCGCGGTGGGGTTTCCCGCTGTTTACGTCTCAGTGGCCAGGGGCCCGCAGTGACAGCCCCAGCAGCAGCCGCCGCCACCAACCCCGTGCCTGGGGGCAGTTTACGTGGGAGCCCAGGATCCCTATGTGCCTGTGGCGGGGCTGCCTATCCCCGCCCCGGCTCGGCGGCAGTAAAGCGCCTCGGGCCGCGTCGGAAGATGCCGCGCGATTATCGCCGCCCCTGCTCGGCCGGTTCCCTCGCGGAGCGGGGCAGGGAGATCGCGGCTGAGTGTGTCTGCAAGTGGGAGACTAGGCTGGCTGGGACGCTGTGGGCCGCCCTAGGAAAGTTCAGCCCCTCCACCTCACTGGGGTGTCGCCCTTAGGCGAGTGCTCCCCATAATGTCACTTCCACTGGCTGCAGGATCGAGTCCCTAATCCTCAACCCAGTAGGCACAGCAGGCTTTATCCGTCCTGCAACAGCTAAAGGCACTTAGACACACTTCTGTCTGAGGATTTCTTACTCTGGCAGATCACGCCTAAGATTGCTATAACTGAAAAGCTATCAAGAATACTTTTGGTTTTCAGTTTACTTTGTGCATTGGCTGCATCAGTTACCGGCTAGTTCTGCTGTGAGCTGGGTTAGATAATGCAGTGCCGCTGTACCTGAGTCTTGTTGCAAGTGTGGATGACACTGTAATGAGACTAACTAATCTCAGGTTGACAGTGTTTTTAAGTGACTGCTCAGGGTCCCACAGTCAGCTACTGACAGAATGGAATCCAGGAGTTCCTACTTAATGTGCTCTCTCAGCTAGTGTTGTGAACTGTTGGTATTCCTCTAATCCACCTTCCCCGCACCTTTGTGTTAGTTTGTACTCTGCCGGGTAAACTACATTGAGCCATCAACAGCTCCCAGTCTTTTTCTGAAAATCCCTTCCATGATCTCGCCCAGCTCAAAATGTCGTATTTTCACACTTATTTATTGCTGCTTTTAGCTTTAAAGGAGGTAATTATAGTATCTAGTGTGAAGTATACATTGAATCCCTATTTTAGGGTTTTATGCTCTGCTCATGATTGTAGTGCCTTCTATGAAAAGTTAATAGCAACAGCAAAGTCTTTAGTGGACTTCATGGATTCTGACTCTTCTCAGGATAAAAACTCTGCCTGGAGTATTTTTGTTTTGTTTTAGGCTTTTATTATCATGTTTTAGGAAACAGAAATGGCATCTTAACTCAGCCAATCTGATGTCTGTCATTCAGTCACATCTGCTTTTCATTGCTGCCTGAAATAAGCATTCACTGCTTTTTTCACTTGTAAGCCATACAGAGGCAACCCAGGAAAAGTTATATGGATTATATTTCTCCTTGTGTCTCGACAGGAGTATTTGCTAAATTCTAATTGCACCATCTTTATTGTTGGTGATGGTACATAAGCCAAAAAGAACTTTGTTTTTGTTTTGTTTTTTAAATTGATTTGACAGGGTTTGTAATATGGAACCTTACAATGCCATTAGCTACTTTTCAGAATAGAATTGCACTCCAAAATTTGTACTGTTCAGAACACTTAAGTTAAAAGAGTGTTCAAAGCTATAGTTAAATCTAGATTTAGGGTCTGTGTGGATTGAGTGTTTGAGATTTGCTTGGGGTTAGGTAACACTTATTAAGTAACTATAACTTTTCCTAATCAAGACAAATCTTTAAATCCATATTTAGGCTTGTAAATCAGTGGCCTATCTTTCAGAATGGGGAGCCTGTTGCTGCTCCTGTTGAAAAGCATCTACTCAGAACCTCTGGAAAATCAGGCCACTTCTGTTTAGGTACCTAACTGTAGGCATTGATGTTGGAAAAATTTAGTCAATGATTCTAGTTGGTGAACAAAAAATTAGCCTTTGGGAAGGTGATATAAACATCAAGAAACTAAACCATAACAGAAATGCAAGATTTTTAGTTGTATTACCATGTGCAATACTATGGCATGCGCATAATTTATTACTGAGATGTAGTCTTGAGCTGTGAACATCCATCTATAGTCTATTGATCTGCTACTGTGCTAATTGCTGTTTTAGCTTGTTTTTCCCTGTAATGTTTTTGGCCCCTTTGCTGGTATCATTTTAATGGCTGCTGTGGGCTCTTGCTCATCTTCAGGTTGTTTAGACACTTAAACATCTCTGCTTGATAGCTAGCTACAGTGATTACACTAAATCTTATAAAAAGTATAAATAAGTTAAAACTGTAATCCTAACAAATGCTGAAAATTGAATTTTGATCAGTTACTGTATTGGTTGGTTGTTCTCTAGCAATTCAAACTCCTCCCCATGGCTTTCTGAAGCGGCAGCGCCACAGCGGGAAGAATGGTAAAACTTTACATTTATTTCTAAATGCTCAAGGGCTCTGATAGCAATAAATTGAAAAGCATTTTGGGGGGCACCTGTCTGGCTTGTGCCACTAACTGGCAACTTTTAATCCCCAGGACAAATTCCCGGTGGTTATTGCTTAAGTATCTAATAGGATATATGACCTGCGAAACTATAACATTTTGTATGTGCAGGGTCTAATGTATAGGCTTAAAAAAATTGTGTTACTTAAATGGCTTGTATTCTATGATTATGTAACTACTATTTAGTCAAACAAGATGCATTGTATTAGTGTTCCTTTATATTAATGAAGAAATATCTAAATATTGACTGAGTGTTGTTAAATGAATATAATGTCCCTCTGATTTTCATCCTAATGCATTTACCTTTCTTTCATTTCCAAGTAAAATGAACTGAGGTTTACGGAAAGTAAATCTTTTGTTTTAAATAGTACAAAGTGTTGGATTATAAGAGCCATCCTCTTGGAAGAAGCAAAAATCTTACTGAATTTGCTGTAACCAAAGGTTGTCTTAGATTGCTTATGTGAAAAAATTCTTAGTAAAGTCAGCCCTTAATCTTCTGAAGACAACTGCTAATGCTTGGTGTGAGATGAGCAAATTTGCCAATTTATAACTAACATTTCATTTTAAAGCTTGCCTTGAATTAGTAATATTTAGCATAATATAAGGTACGCTAAGTATCTCATTAATGTTTACCTTTAACTAGTAATTGAAATTAAATGCATCCAAAGTACCTTTAAAGTAAACAGTTTGTTAAATATGTTCCAGAAATGTTCAATATCCTGATTTTTTAGATTAGGCACTGAGTACTCACCTGAGTATTACAATTGCCAGTATTCTTTCTGTTTCTGTACACCAGTGGTTCTCAAATTAGGGCCGCCGCTTGTTCAGGGAAAGTCCCTGGCAGGCTGGGCCGGTTTGTTTACCTTCCGCGTCCGCAGATTTGGCGGATCGCGGCTCCCACTGGCCCGTGGTTTGCTGCTCCAGGCCAATGGGGGCTGCAGGAAGGGCGGCCAGCACATTCCTAGGCCTGAGCCGCTTCTCGCAGCCCCCATTGGCCTGGAGTGGCGAACCGCGGCCAGTGGGAGCAGCAATCGGCTGAACCTGCGGACGCGGCAGGTAAACAAACCAGCCTGGCCTGCCGGGGGCTTTCCCTGAACAAGCGGCGGCCCTAGTTTGAGAACCACTGCTGTGCACAACAGAATAGACCCAGGATTCATTGAAGTGTAGTCTTAAATATGTTTGTGATCTCCAATACAGTGAGACTCTGCAGCAACATACTTTTCTCTTAAGTACCACCAAACCATAGTTCAGAGGGACTTCAGTTAACTCAGTTTTCTAATTTGAAATGGCTCCCTCCCCTCCTGGGGGTGACATACTAGTCGAATGGTAGAGTAGAAGACAGGCTCATTGAATGAGGATAACTTCCGTATGGTAGATCTGTCTCCCGCCCTCTGCAAACATGCTTAGAAGCCTCTTGATTTCCCTCCCTGCTTACACAATGGCTTGACTGAGAGCAGGGAGAAAAATCAATTTTTTTTCTTTAAAAACAAAAGCTTCAAACACTTTGTTTGACATTGGTAAATATTTACATACAGTATCTTCCTGTTTTCCTTTGACTTAGTTTTGAGTTTTATAACTTAAAAGTTCACAACTGTTGTTTCTGCCATGTCCTTGCTGTTTAATGCAGGGTCAGTTGAGGGTTGGGACTAGATTGTGGATGAGGTTTTGTGGAGGGTCGTGATTGTCAGCCTAGACTGTACGAGTAACTTTGCTGAATGGTGTCAGAACATACCAGGTAATGCTTGCACTGTAACATTGCATTAATTCCCTCCGCTAAAGAGCCTCAGGATGTTGTTGATCTTGTCTCCCAGAACTTGGATGCTAGACTTGAAAAAAATCCACGTATCATTGTCTAGTAGGAAATTTCCTGACAGGCCTATCAGAGGAGGACCCAAGTACCAACAGTTTCTGCAGAATTTAAGCTTTCCCCGAAGTCAGTTCTACACATGGAAGGCTTTATTGGTAAACTTATTCCAGTCCCCCACTTCCCCTGAGCAAAATTAGTTATAGGTCCAAAAGTGCAGTTTCGCCAGTGTAACCATGTGTATTAAGGGTTTTTGCCAGTATAACTGTGTGTCACTCTCAAATCCAATCTCTTACCACCATAGCTGTTCTGGGAAAAGTTTGTAGTGTAGATTTGGCATTAGTTTTAAGCTCTTACAGTTGTGACAGTAACCTTCCAAATGTCGTCTGGTTGTAAACTGATGAAGTATTGTTTTACCAAGTCTGTAGGCACAATTAAAAGGAGCTTGTAAACTTCAAATTTTGAAATTCACTACATTCCCAAAATTTCACTTCCTGATAGAACTTTCTTTAAGTAAAAATAAAACTTCAGAAGGGCTCTTCTGCTCCCCCATTTACACAGCTACTTTTTTTTCAGCAGGGAGCACATGGAGGAGAAATTGTCCATAAACTACTGTCAGATGCACCAAGTTGTTTAATGAAAACTCCCCGAAAATGTGTGTTCTCTAACTTTTTTATGTAAATTAGGCATTCCAAATAACTGTAATAGGTTTCAAGACTTCCTGAGACTATCTTTTTTCACCAAGATGACTGTTCCTTTAACAAGAATCGTCAGTTCTGCTGATACTCAAAACCCTATCTACAGCACTGAAACTCTCAAATAGCATGTCATCTTCACATTACTGCTTGGGCAAGATCAGGGCAACAGCAGAGGCAAGCATTGTGGATATATTCATGTGGCAGAATGATCCAAGGGGAAAAGCTGGGGCTGGCGAAATTAGAGTAGCAGAGACCGAACCCGCCACGTACAGGCACACCTCTTGTTGAGGTGGGAGTAGAGACCAAAAACTGATTTCCCTTCCAGCATCTTTAAATTTATAAGTCTCCACTAGTCAGAAGTGATTGATCTTTAAAAAACAAAAACCCACCTTTCAAGAAGAGGTCAGGAACAGTCCCTGGCAAAAATAGAGCGTACACATCAGATTTCAGTGGCTGCTATGTATGTTGAAATATTTTGATTAAGGCTTGCTTACACTTCGTGTGGTGCAATCCTGAAAACTTACTGTCTTCTTACCTATTTGCCTGTATATGTTAGAAAGCTTGGTTTGTAAACTTAGGGCCTCAGTGACTGCTTTTCTTACCCTGGAGTTTTGGAGTTTGAGTATGTTCTGAATTATTTGGCTACTGATTGACAAAGTCATAAACTCAGCCTTTAAAGGTAGGCCCGTCACCTTCTTAGCTTTGTCTCATCTTCCTCCCACTCCTTTTTTTCAGTTCCTTGCTCCATATTTTCTGCCTTTTTTTTTCGCTTCTGTACAGCTTTGAGTCTCTAATCCTTATATGTTTTCTGGGATGTTTCCAGGATCTCTTCTCTTTAAAGGTTTCATGACATTGTAACCCTTCTTCTGAGAGCTGGAGAGACATGGCTTCCTCTCTGCCCTGTCAATGCTGCTTCTGCGATCTGAAAATTTATGGGATGCATTTACATTCCACAGTGACTGGCTGCAGTGGTTCTCACCCATGTGAATTGGCTGGCTCAAAAATCTTTGTTGTTATAGCTTTCTCATTTCAATTCATATTGAAAGTAAGCTCCTGAAGTCTTAATTCAGAGTGTAGTCTTGATTTGTAGTCAAGGTCTAGGAGAATGCCTCATGTTATCCACTGAACCACCACTGTGAGGATGCATTACTTGGGAATTAGTGACTATGTAGGAAGAGGTGATGGTCCAGATTTCTAAAGAGGATTGGTAACACCAAATCACAAGCTGATTACTAGGGTCCTACCAAATTCACGACCATGAAAAACGTGTCCCAGCCCGTGAAATCTGCTCTTTCCCTGTGAAATCTGCTCTTTTGTGTGCTTTTACCCTATACTGTACTATTCATGGGGGAGACCAGAGTTTCTCAGATTGGGGGTCCTGACCCAAAAGGGAGTTGCAAGGTTATTTTAGGCTGGTCGTTGTATTTCTACCCTTACTTCTGCACTGCCTTCAGAGCTGGGTGGCTGGAGAGCGGTGGCTGTTGGCCAGCTGCCCAGTTCTGAAGGCAGCGCCCTGCCAGCAGCATCACAGAAATAAGGGTGGCTATACCATACCATGCCACCTGCACTGCTGCCTTTAGAGCTGGGCGGCTTGATAGTGGCGGCTGCTGACTGAGGGCCCAGCTCTGTAGGCAGCAACGCAGAAGTAAGGGAAGCATGGTATGGTATTGCCATCCTTATTTCTGTGGTGCTGCTGGTGGTGGCACTGCCTTCAGAGCTGGGCTCCTGGCTAGGAGCCACGTCTCTCCACCACAATAATGTTGTGACCACCCCACAACTCCTTTTTGGCTCCAGACCCCTACAATTACAACACTGAAATTTCAGATTTAAATAGCTGAAATTGTGAAATTTATTATTTTTAATATCTTATGACTGTGACGTTGATCAAAATGGACTGTGCATTTGGTAGGGCCATACGGATTACATAGGAAATCCTCTGCACTGAGGAAACTGTTGATACTGTCATTCTTCCTAAAGGTATTTTGAAGTGATTTTTTTTAGGGAGATTGATTCTTCCTTGTTCATTGGTCAGACATTGTCAGTTTGGCTTTATTCAGCATATCCAGAGAATTTGTGTTGTGTACATTAGTGAGTTGGTTTGATACTGCATTTTTCTCTAGTAATTTGCTGAGGAAATACTCTTCTGAAGAGATTCCACTTTTCCAGAGGCCATATTGCTAACATTGTTCATTGTTGAGGCTACGTTTGTGTCACAGAGGTCATGGAAGTCAGGGAATCCGTGATTTCCAGAAACCTCCATGACATTCTCTGCTTCAGCCCCAGGGGTTATTGGACTCTGGAGCTGGCAGGCAGCGGGACCCTGGCAGGGTTCCAGCAACAGGGGGCCCCCTGCAGTGTTCCATTGACAGGTGACGGACTCCTGAGGGGGCCCTCCTCAGGGTTCCAGTGACAGGC